AATCTCTGTACACAGGAAATCTTTGTACCTTCCCATCAATTTTGCTGTGAACCTAACCCTGCTCTCAAAAAGTAGTCTTAACACACACACACACACACGAAAACCAATCAGGGATCAGAGGAACACATGAAAGCTTTTAGGATTTTTTTCTTTATCCTTAGTATTTAAAATTTTATGATGAAGTCTCTGGTTTAGTTTTATTATTTATTTTCTAGGCATTCCATTTTTTTTCAGTTTGGAAATGCATGTCTTTAAGTTCTGAATTTTTTTCTTGTAAGATTTCCTCATTTCATGTATGCACGCACATTAGCTGTCTATTAGTAAGTGTACATGCATGTTAACATCTACCATTGGATATTTTTGTCCTGCTTTCTGAGAGATTTGCTTTATCTTCCAACTGTTCCATTGGAACATTCATTTTAGTTTCATATTTTGAAGAGCTCTTACAATCCTCTATGTCTATATTCTTATAGCAGCATTTTCCAATTTTCTGAGTGCAGTATTTTTATCTCTCTGAAAATATTACTAGGTCGTTTTCTCTTAAGTATTTTTACTCTCTGCATTGTCAGTTTGTTTTTCTCTGAGAAAGAATATGGAGTTAAAACAAACAAACAAAGCTAAGCGCCCCTTCCTCCCATCTTTGATCACTCCCATCTTCAGAGTTACCCATACTTTATGAGATGCCCTTCAAGGCATTTTTCATGCACTTACCTGCATTAAAACACACACATATAATTACATGCTTTATCTTTTTTCATAACTATAATAGTGTGTTATACTGTGCCTGTTTTTATATTAACAGCATGTGATAAAGATCTTTTAATGTCTGTATTTTTAAACCACTTATTTTTAACTGCTGCATGCTCTACCACAGTAAGATTGTGACAGTATCTATTTAACACAGATCATAGTACATGTTTTTCTCTTTTCAAATTAATTCTGTTCAGTCTGTTTTATTTCTGCAGGATAAATATCTAGAAATAAATTGCTCAGGTGCAAATTAACTTTATTCAAAATTGTCTGACCAAATGCTGTACTAATTCATTTACACTCCAATAAAAGTTACCAAGGACTCTATTTCTTTATGTTCTCACAAACACTGGATATTATCAAATGCTTTAACTTCTGCTCATTCATTGGTCAATTTGCCGATAGGCAAAAAATATTGGTATGTTTTTTGAAGTGAGGTTCAACAGCCTTTCATGTATTCATTAGCTATTTAAAAGATTTCTTCTTCTTTGAATTGCCTGGGCCTATTTTCCCCATATTTTTACTGTATTGTGATTGGCAGAATCTTTTTATATACCATGATGGCAATTGTTTGTTTGTTTAAAAAGTTGCAGATATTTTCTCCCTAAACCTTGCCTATCTTTAGGGACATCTATTTTTAGATACCACACAGGGTAGTTAAAAAAAATTTGTACTCAAATTTATCAACTACATTTTTTTGTGGCTTGTATTGTTTATTTTAGGAAAGTTTCCCCACCCCAAGTTTATACACATATTTTTATTGACCTACAATACTTTGAGTTTTAATTTTTAATGTTTAGCTCTTTAACTTACATTTGTGAATGGTACAAAGTTGAGATATAATTTTATTTTTCAAAAGTACAGCTCATTTTTCTGGCACTAGCTATTGAATAATCCATCCTTCCCCTGTGCTTTGAAATGTCACCTATTTCATGTACTAAGTTCCCTTTTATAGACTGGTCTGCCCCTGGTTTGTTACATTGCTCTAAAGCAAGAAATGGCAAACCACAACCTGTGGGCTAAATCCAGCCTCCTGTTCGGTAAATGTGCACTTTTATTGGATTACAGCCATGTGACTGTACAGGGGCTGAGACCTGGTCTGAACTGCTGGCTCAGTTCCTGATCACCCTTTCGTGGTGGCAGAGCAGGGCCGAGCAGCGGGACTGCGGTCTGCAGTCTGGGTGAGAAGACACTGGAAACACCCTTCACAGCCCCTCAAGGTGATAGGAACTGGCTTACGGTGTTTTCAGTTTGGCATGGCTGGTTTGAAGCTTCACCACGCTCCCACTTTCATTTATGGTTTGGCATGGGTGAACTCTGAGAAGTAAACCCTACAGACTGCAGTACTGGTCTACTGGGGGTGCTGCCCTCTCTATCTGATTGTGAGGTCCCTCCATCTACCTTATCTGTACCCCAGGTCTCTGTGACAGATGGTTACTAGCACACAGAAAAAAGAACTGCCTCTGATAACCTTTCTGGGATAAAGTCATTCATGAGCTACTTAGGGAAGCTGGGGCTGTGTGTTCTAAGTATCAAACAAATTTAGAAGGAAAGAAATTCCTTCCTAAACTGGGAACTGTCTATTGTTATGAAATCCATCTCTTGCTGTAATGACAGCAATAAACTGAGGAGACCTTGACTGACTACAGTTCACACTAGATGGGTAAACTCTCATGCGAAGCAATGAGTTGGTTAATTACAGCTGTGTCATGTCTGTAGCTCTCTGATTAATCTCTTGAGAGTATATAAATCCATCACCTACAGTGGCTCACAGCTTCTGAGCAGAACTTTTTAGAGGTCAGCCTCCTCCATTAACTCAGAATACATGTCTTAAAAATCAAAGGGTGGGGTGGAGTTTAGCTTATTTTCATTATACCCCTGTGTGTGGATCAGCTTATATGAAGCATCAGAGTAATGGTGAGGCAAATAAAACAGTGGCAGGGAGATTTTAAAGTATTTTACTATACTCACCCAACCCCCACCCTTTTACTTAGCCAAACAGACATATGCTTGTAACACCCAAGGCTCTAGAATGCGGGTGTATTCAGACTTTCTGAAACAGCGAGTTCGGTGCCTCACTTGAACTCTGATCCACTCTCTGACAGCTATATCGGCAGGAAAAAAAATGTTCCTCTCACAAAATGCAGTATACCTGGGCACCCTGGAGTTGCAACTCATCCCAAGTGTGGATCATGCTAGTTCAGGAGCAGGGAACCGGATTGTTGTGTATGGCTTGGGCTTACCTACAGACCAAGGCTTGCAACCGTGATGCACGCTAGTATCACTTGCAAAGCTTTTACAGTACCGTGCCCACCCCAGAACAAATGAGTCAGAAGCTCTGTTCTGGGGCCCAGGCTCTGCCATTTCTCGTTCTCCAGGTTGTTCTAACGTATAGCGGGGGTGAGAACCACTGCCAGACTAGAGTGCTGGTGGCCATCGTGCCAATAATCCAAGTATTCATGCAGGGTAGACTTTCAATTTGTAATATAAAGCAGTAATTAACTCTTTAGTCTGCCCAAGGACATTTCCAAGTATGGCAAAACTGTCCGTCTCCAGTATTTAGCATAGGTGACAACCCTGTGTGTGTATGTGTGTGTGTGTGTGTGTGTATGTGTGTGTGTTGCAGTCCTATTATTCTGTTCCCTGCGTAAGCTTCTGAATTTTTCCCTTTCCTCCCATCTGCCTCGTCTTCGGTTCATCTCTCTAGTCTAGCTGCCCCTCTCCCCACCTTCAACTAGCATTGCTCCCACAATTTCTCCCAAACCTCAAACAAATCTTTCCTCACACTCTCTTCAATGGGTCCTTGCTGTCCACAAAAATCTGTGTCCTCATCTGGGCATCTAAGACCTTTCATGATGAGGCTGGAGAGAGGCTCATCGAGTCAAAGGTCCCTTGTGGGCCCTTGCAGGTTCCTTAGTGAGCAGTTGTTTGCAGCTTCTAAGCCTTTGCCTGGATAGCTCGTACCTCACCCCATCCTGCCAGAAGGCCCCATTCAAGGCTCTTCCAAATAAACGCTTCTCCGATCTCCCCAGCTCCTGTTCCCAACCCCTAGGCCTTCACTGCCTGTGCCAAAGCAACACATGTGTCTCACGTATGTCTGGCAGTGGGTGCTCAAAGAAAACAGTGCATGAAATAAATTTATCACACTATCAAAATTTTAAGTGTCTTCCCTATTAGATTCTGAGCTTTTGCTAAGGACAGTGGGTAACACAGGATATGAAATAGAAAAAGCAAAACTTTTGCAGACCAGTTTGCGTTTAAAACTCCCCTCTATCATTTACTAGCTGTAGGATCTTGGGCAAGTTGAAGTTCCCTCAGCTACAAAATGAGGGTGACAACTCCTTGAAGGGTTATGAGGGTCACACATGATGTAACATCAGACACACAACAGGCAGGTATTTTTCCCTTGCCTCTAATTTACTTACAATTTACCAAATACTCTGCAAAATTCATGAGCAACACCCCACTAGAAAGCTTTTGAATTTTGTGTGTCCCAACGACCAAATGGCTCAGTTCTATAAATGTTCAATGTTTGTCAGATTTAAAAACTTTCCTTTCACTGTAGTCACCTGGGGCATGTTATACCTATTGTTTTATTTAATCCCCAACAGCCCTTTGAATTATTATTCCCATTTTTATAGCCAAGAAAACAAGAGCAAAGAGAAGGTGATGGATTTTCTTTCAGGAGAGCCCAGACATTTCAGGATCCTGGGTGTGGGCCCAAAGCTCTGGGCTCTGTCCACTCCACGCCCTGTGTCCCCCGTTCAGTCTGTGAACGCACACTTTCAAATGCAGCCACTTAGTTTTTTGAAAATTAAACCCAACAGTCCAATGATGACTGTGTTAAGGGCAAATTTATAGTACAGTAGTTATTTAATTTTAAAAAGTAAAAAATTATATTTAAATAAGTAGGTCCTTTCAGCCCCACAATATGGAACTGAATAGTGGCCGATTGTCAACAACCTCTCCGAGTGGACTTAGCCTCTTGGAGCCTCGGTTCCTTCGTCTCTAACTCAGGCACAGTACTGGTGCCTGTCTTCTGGAAATGTGAGGAAGAGGTGAGTTGACAAGTGGACTTCTAACACACGTGGAGCAGGTCTGGCACACAGCAGGGCCCGGCGTTCTGTCACCCTGGAACTTCAGGTTGTCCTTTATTGTTTTATTACAGGAAAGAAGAACACAAAGAAAACATTCACTCTTTAACACTTTTTGTTTAATTGAGAACCCTAGTAACAAAAAAAGCACTCAAAGGCAAATAAAAAGTAACTTTATTGACTGTTAATCTTGCCATGAAATGCCTATAATAATTACAAAATAATGAAGTTTTTTTTTACACGCTTTTGGTATCATCCCGATATGACGATCCTTTCACAGAAAGGATTACTTAGAGTTTATGCAGATATAAAGCTCACTGCTGCAAATACAAATGTAGAAGTGGAAGCAATATATACCCAACTGGTATACTAACTAGCAATGGACATTAACAAATGCAGAATAAATAACAGCTTTAGACTTTTCTTTTTATTTTTTTAAACAAATTTCAAATACAAAAATGTAGGTATTCAAAATGGATTTTCATATACATATATATAATTCTGCTGCAAACAGTGGATCAAAAAGCAAAAACGTCCTTAGCATGTTTCATTTTTGAAAACCTACAAGACTATTCATCAATCCAATTAGAAAGAAGGTGTGCAAAACCACCAACAGTGCTGGCAAAACCCTGAAGACTTGATTCTGGTTAAAGTAGGGAGAAAATAAAGTATAAAGCACTACCTAGTTAATAAATTTGTTTTTTTTCTTGATGTTTGCAAGAAACACTAAGAGCTAAGGAAATGTAGCACATTATGATTTGGACTCTTTATAGTCAAAATTCACCAGGATTTGTCCTTTAAGCATCTATAAGAAATGGTAGATTATTTAATGACTTTTAAGTAAAATAGTCACTAGATGATCTTTTCATACTTCATCCTTTTATACAGAGACTGAGATACTTTTATACATTCTGATATCTGAAAACTTTGGTTCTTTCAAAACATTTAATAAGAGTAAAACAGTTACAAGACGACAGAATTCTACAGAACTCTTTTCCTTTTAAAGTGTCAAGTTGGACTGATCTGACCAGGCTGGTTGCGTGCATGCTGCCCGGCCACGTCTGTGTGGGGACACGTGGGGGACAGCGTGGGTGGAGCTTGTTCACGTTTTCTGCGTGTTTATAATACTGACTCCCATCCATGGGTAACACTGCTCTACCCTAAATCTATTTCTTTGTTACCTGAAAACTTAATTTTGTATAAAAATATGACTGTTTCTTTAGAAAATAATATATAGTTCTTTTTAATAAAACCTGGTAGGTAGAAAAAAATGGTATATCAAAATATGGTAAACAAATGTTTTAAATATGAAATCATTAAAAACATCTCATAGAAAGACATTGTGCTGAGAGTTCTCTCTTGAAGTGTGAGTAACATCGCTATTGTACATCTGAAGGTTAACGAGTTCACTCTCCTGATTTGGTTTCATTATACATCCTAACAGTAGTGGCAGTAACTATCTTAAAAATGGCCCTTTCTCAAACACTAACATTTTCTATATGCTTTTACTTAAAAATGAATGAAAAGGCGGCCTCCTGATCAGTGGTTTTCAACTCTGCTGCACATGGGCTCCATTTGGAGTATCTCAAAAGAAGAGCAATTCCATTTAGGTCCCACCACAAGAGACTTATTTAACTCATTGGAGGTGGGACCAGACTTTTTTTTTTAAGACCTTCCAAAATAATTCTATGATGCAACCAGGGTTGAGAATCACAGCTAAAGACACATGAGAAAATAGTCATTTTTAACTACACATGTCAACTGATTGTCTGTAGGTATCAATCGTTCAATGACACATCCTCCATATTAAACAAGAAAGACCACGTATACAAAACAGTCACGGAAGGTTTAAACATATAAACACATACAACTTCATGTATTTATATATGTATAATAACATATGTGTATAGTTAGGGTATTTTTGGTTAAGTAGAAACTAGCATTACCCTAATTTGTTCTTGATTTAAAAAAAACATGAAGCATAAACATTTTCTAAGACATTTTCATAGTTTTAACAAAAACCAGTGTTAGAAACTCCAATAGAATGCATTATGACATGAATACAATTGATCTGTTACTTGGATGAGGAACCTGACTGAGTCCCAGAGCTCTCTGGGAGAGCAGGAGGCAGCCAGGGCACTGGGCGTGGAGGAGTCACTGGCATCGCAGTGCTTATGCACACTCTTCTGCTTATTGCGTGGTTCACGGCTGTCTGACCCCGGGCTGCACTTCTGTTACATCCATCTCTTTGGCTTGCTGGAAGCATGGGATTCTGACCGCTTCGTCAGTGTTCTCTTTGGGACAGCCCCAGTGAGGTGGCAATGGCTAGGGACTAGGAGATGGTCTCTCCATGAAAAGAAGAGATTCTTTTCTCTCTCCTCCCTCAAAACATGAACATTTCATGAGGGAGTGATAAAAAAAATTGACAGGCAAAAAATCTAACTATTGTTCACATGATAACAAAACGTGATGTTATATGTGACTGAACTAAAAAACAGAACAGTGAGCAAACACACCACGGTTCAATATTCTAAAGGCTTAGTAAGCAGTAAAGCACAATTCCTTCCAAAGGATCGTGAACTTCCAGGCACTTGTCTTGCTGTACATTCTCTTTTCCCTCTGTGTAATACTTAAAGTGCAGTTGTCTCAGGCTTTTATTTCCATCGCAAATTTCAAAAAGAGCTGTGTTCTGGGTGAAGACGATATGGCACAAGAAATGAGAAAGAGCTCATGGCTTTCACAGCCTCTGGCAAACAGCAGGCTGCCGTATAGCTGCACACAGACACACTTTATACAACAAATTCTGGAACTTCGTCATGAGTGAGATCCAGAGAAAAGTATTTGCTGGTTCTTTTGACTGGAAAAGCATCCTGGATGTTGACACACTGCTGAGCCAAGCAGCTGTTACAATAGAGGCCTTCCTCATCCAGTTCATGGCCACATCCAAAAGTGTAACTCTGAGCAGTGTCCTGACACAGACCAGCAATGCGCAAGAAGTCTTTCTGGTAAAGTCTGATGTCATCAAGGCTCAAGCTATGTCGATCGGTGGAAGTCTTTGGTTTTCGACATATAGTCTGCAAAACAAAGGAAGGTTGAAAAAACTTCAAGAGTATAGGCTAAAGAGAAAGGTTAGCAATATTTGCCCTGTAAACAGAGGACTGCAACATTTATAAAGGGTTAAGGAATCCTATGTCAGGGAGGTTTCCAATCTGAGGTATCTGAGCTCCCAATAACAATAATAGCAGCTAATATTTACTGAGACTTTATTATGTGGCTGGCCCTGATACGCACACACTACAGGTATTATCAACACATTTAATCTTCCTATTAGCCCTATGAGGTGGGTGCTATTATTTTCCCCATTTTACAGGTGACTGATCCAAGGCACAGAGAAGCAAATGCGACAGGAATCCAACTATCTCCAGCATCTCAGAGATCAAGCAACTGTCTTAAAGTAAGACTGTATATGTAAAAATACTGTTTCTTTGTTTTTTCCCCACTACGATATGGCAATTCAGTGTGGCCAACACTTTATGCTGAGTTCTGTTATTATGTTAGTAAGAAATGGGAACACAAACCAATATTACTTAAGAAACACAGAGTGAAAAACTATTTTTTAAAAAGCCAGAATTCTTGGGTGGAAAGATGACCTGAGACGTTGCTGGTGCAGAGAGGGTTGGAGGCAAGTGCCAGGATTAAAGGCAGCTCCTGAACATCGCTCGAGGCCATGTTCTGCCAAATGCTTCCCGCCGCGCAGGTAGCAGACCGTTGGAACTCATTATCCCAAGAGGTAGTACTGGCTGAACATATATAAACAGGTTGAAAACGGCTCAGATAATTATAGTAATAGAAGATACTAAATGGGTTACTTATGGAAATGAGGCATTCTATCTCTAACTTTTGCTGCTGAATGTCACATTAAGAGGCAAAGTACTAGGAGGAGAGAACAGGGTCTGAGCCCAGCAATATTCTACTAGGCAGTGTCACATCTGAGCACTCCCGGAAGATGACAATCCCTCGTACTGAAGTCATCTTCCTGGGCACTGATGTGTTTTCACAGAGAATTCATTAGGTCATCACCACAAATCCTCAGGGCAGGCGCCCGGGTGCTTTCCCCACTTTGTAGGTGAGGACTGTGATCCTTAGCTGTGCCCCACACACAGCTGTGTACAACAAGAACTCACGCTTAGTGGCCCAGCAGTGGGGCAAACCCAGCCAGTGTGACCCTGGAGCTTGTTCATTTAATCATCATGCTATACACACAGCTTTAAAATCCACTCACTTCCCTGGCTGGTGTGTCTCAATGGATTGAATGCTGGCCTGCAAACCAAGGGGTCACCGGTTCGATTCCCAGTCAGGGCACGTGCCTGGTTTACGGGCCAGGTCAGGCTCCCAGTAGGGGGCGTGTGAAAGGCAACCACACATTGATGTTTCTCTTCCTTTCTTCCTTAATTCCCCTCTCTAAAAATAAATAAAATCTTAAAAAAAAATAAAAAACACTCACTGGAATTTTCAGAAAATATTTAGTAAAATGTCATTTCACATTACTAGTTAAATGGAAGAGGAAAAAGTGCAAATGGGAAAAATGAGAGAAAAATGTAAGAGGTAAAGACTGCCAGAATGCAAGAGGACAAAAAAAGAAATAAAAGAAACACACGGGGGGGGGGGAGAGAGAGAGAGAGAGAGAGAGAGAGAATCCAAGAAAACGGACATAGGAGAGAGTACTCAGAAAATAGAGGCAAATATAAGTTGTACATTATATCCAAATGCTGCAACCATGAGTATTAGAGTATGTTAATTTTTCTGTATCTTTGACATTTTAAGAGCCTAACCAGTGAACACAGGTTATCAAATACTCTCCCTTAGTATACTTTGAAAGTTTACTCTGAATGGAAGAATCAGTGTGTGGAAACCTTTCTGCCATAGCACAGCAGATGAGTTGTTGTGGTTTATCAACACACATACACACTCTCTCACACACACACACACAGAGTCAACCTGAAGTCTGAATGTTAGAGGCTCCTCATCTACATAAAGTGTAAAATTAAGTACATATTTTAAGTACAAAATCAACTCAAAGATAAATGGAACTAGCAAAGAAAATGGAAGTGAGTTCAGAATAAAACTATAATGTAGGTATCTGGTAAGAATAATTTCTTCAGGATTTTTTATTTCACCTCTTTATATAAATATAAATGTTAAGTCCCTATTTAAAATTTTCAATTCCTTTCATACCTGTGGAAGAGAATCGGTACTCTGGCCACGAAGTTTTACGACTGTTTCTGAGGAGCTAGAGGTGGAAGAACCAATTTCTTTCACAATCAACCCTAAACAAAACAGAAAAAAAAAATGAAGACTTCATATTGTTCCTACCTCTTGCCACATGTCTACCACTACTAAAAAGAAAGACCAAATATTAACCATTATTGGAAAATCTCACTATGACTCTGGTGGCGGATAACTAGAACAGAACACATTTTATCTTATATCTTACAGTACGTGGGGTGGGGGTGAGATGAATGTGGGATCTGAGTGGAGAAAGGAGTTTAGAGCCTCAATTTTCTAACATGAACTTCTAATTAATCTATTTATGACGAGGTTAGTAGTACAAACAAAGGCTGTAGGTGTAAAGCAGTCTCTTTATGATAGCTCCTAAAGTTTTCCCACTTCCCACATAACGGTGACTTTGAATTTAACCCCAGCGGCACAGTGACACAGCCCTCCAGCTCCGGTCCCACCTGCACGCGCAGTGGGTGAGTGCGAGGGCTCTGGCCTCTGGAGTCACACGGATCTGGACTGGAACTCAGCCCAGACAAGTAATTAGCTGAGTGTGCTGGCCAGTTTTTTAGCCACCCTCTGTCTCAGTCTCCTCCTTTTACACAAGGGAGCTGGTGACAGCACTGATCCATGAGTTGATGATGATCAAAGTGCACATGCATGAAAAGCACAAGGTGCAGAGCCTGCATGTGGAACATGGGTGGTTCGTGGGAGCTCTTCCGGGCCAACGGGGACACTGGCCCATCTCTTCTGCAGTCAGTTCCACTCACTGGTCACAGAGACCAAAATGGGAGGCCACAGTGAAGAGTCAATTCTAGATCTCTGAGATCAACAGGGTCCCAATCACCCTGGTGCGCAGGGGCAACCTGCTAATATTTTGAAACAAATCCAGGGCTGACACTGTCTCATGAGACTGTGGCATGTGAGTGAAGCACCCACAAAAGGCTTCAGAAGGTGTAACTGCCAACAACAACTGGAGGCATAAGGGAAGCTCTCGCAAATAATTGGAGAAAGTGAATATGTCAAGTTGCAGGTCCTTAAGGCCAAATGGCTTAAGTACCTTACCATTTTATTAAAAAAACAAACAAACAACCCCCCGCCCAACAAACTGTCATGAGATATTTATTCAGCCACTGCTAGTAACCTATAGGAATAACTTCTTGTGTTAAATGCTTCCCTTATACCCCCTTCCCAAAGGCACTTTAGCGGACATTGTTTCAGGCACATTCACACACACACACACACACACATACACACACACGAGCAACGGCGTGCTGTCTGTGCATCTATAATGTGCATATAATTATAAATTTATATTTAATATATATTTAAATACATTTGTAAGGAAAAATTCAATACAATAAAGCAATGGGCAAAAAAAGGGGGGGAAACTGGGTGTAAGAACTCCTCAAGTATATGCAGAGCCACCAGTCTGCTGAATCTCTGTTGGTCAGGCAGAGTGATTCTCTGCAACCATTGGCAGGTCTGTTTCTGGTGGTGCATCCAAAAGTCAAGGTTCTGCTAGGCTAACAGATGGAATTCTGTAATAAAAGGTTCCTGGTGCTCTTGCAGAGTAAGTGCCAGGAGGGTGGGGACTGGGTGTTGGCCTTATTCACCTCTGCCTGCCCGTGCGCACGGAGAGGCTCACCACCAGAACTGACAGGGTGACGGCAGCCGCTCCGGTCCTAACAGGGTCCCTTACTCCATCAGAGCTCAGAGGGGCCTAATGATGAGCACCGAGGCCACTTCAACAGTACTGCTTCCTAAGGCATATTCCTCTGAAGAATAGAGACTAATTCATGACATGTGGCAGACACAGAAGTAACTGAGGTTTAAAAATGAAACCCATCTTGCTCCTATTTTTTAAAGATAACATCTTTCATTTGATAGAAATATATATTATGTAATATTATAGAACCCTATAATAGGGGTATGGTGAATGCATGTTTTCTAGAAGAATTGATCAAATGCAAAATTTAAAAGTGCCTTTTTATGTCTGTCTTTTCTGATACTTTCCCCTCCAGATCCCTGTACTAGTATAATGCTGGGGGGAAACAAAACAAACAAACAAACCCGGAGACGCTACTTCTCTTTCTAGCCATGTAGCATTTGTCTTCTCTAATCTACAGGTTTTCTCAACTAGAAAAAGGAGGAGGCTGGCCTAAAGGGTCTTAGAGGACCCTCCAGATGTATTATGATTTTCTGAATATCATTTAAAAGCAAAAGAGAAAGAGAGAAAACCCTAACTTTGTCCAGAGCAAGGGGTAGAAGAAGCCACTTCCCAATCCTGGGAGCTTCTCTCCCCTTTCCCTTCCCTCCACAGAAGGCACTCGATCCTACAGCTGATAACACTGACTTGGAAAGGCTCCAATTCCAGTCCTGTCTCTGATCCAGTCCCACCCCTTCTATTTTCAGAGGCACCTGCTTCTCAGTCCAGAACGACCGGCTAGTTAAGGAGAACTGCCCGCGAGCTCACCAGAGTGTCCATTCAGCTTCCGCGACAGGAGCATGTCCTCCGTGATGTAGATGCACATGTCCGGGCTGACTTCCAGAGACTCGTCGTTCATCTGCTCCAGGTCCCTGGGGTCATCCACCAACATCTCTATTTCTGACACAGAAAAAGGAAAGGACATTTATGACATGAAGGGAAATGGCCATCATAATTCATAGCCACATTCTGAGGGAGACCATGTAATCATTCATATTTTAAAATAAATTGGCTAATGAGACTGTACAACAGTCCACTCTAGGGAACAATTCTCAATTAGATGCCACTTGTTCTCTTTCTCATGGGACTGACGTGTTATGTATAAGTCTTCTAAACGACACAGTCTGACTCAGTTACTGTTTCCTCTTTAAGAGAGAAGAAAAGCTGTATTGCCATGCTGCAACGACAGGGCAAACTGAGACCGATGGGCCACTTGCCTAGTGCCAAGGCAGATCGCTGACACAGAGAGAACGAGCAGTTCATGAAGCTCCCCACTGCCCACAGCTGCCTGCTCTCAAGGCATTCAGTGACTCATCTGAGATCCACATGAATCCTACAGTAACCAAATACACATTCTGTAGTTTTCCTTAACAGAGTCAGTATCTTTTCCCTGAACCTGAATGCTATAGCAATTAGTTAGGAAAGAAAAAGAATAAAAAAAAGATGTACATAAATGCTAAGTGTGGCTGATACGGGCTGTAGGTCTCCCCTGACTTCCTTAGCACAGAGTTGGGCAGCCAGGTGCCATGTACCCTTTATACTCCCCAGCATTCCGGTGACATGAGCAGTATTTAAGAAATCCTAATTAAGCAAGTGGCCTGGGCTCCAATATATTTCTTTCTTTTTTTCTGGTACAAATTCAGAACATTTATGCCACTATCGTTAAATCTAGTCTGTGTCTGAACCAATGCTTATTTCATCTGGAAATCAGAAATGAAGACCCAGGGGGCTACAGGACTAACTTCCACTCACTTCATATAAACTGCTGAAACTTAGAATCCACAACCATTCAGCCCTGTGGTGGCAAAGGATCGTGACTACAAGGATGTTTTGTTCATAGTAAAACACAAACACCTCAACCAAGCTGTTGGGGGAGATGGCAAGAAGACTCTCTATTATGACTACTTAGTTGTTCTCCAGATATTGATTCTATAGAACTAATACTTGAAAAAACACTATGCGAGAAAAAGAAGAGAGCCAGTGAGGACGAATCAGCACTGTTGGCTTGGAGGGCCTGAGGGAAAGGTTACCATCGTCCTGCGAGTCCTCCTCCAGCCGGTCCTTGCCACCGCTTTCTACCCCTGAGGTGTGGGAGCTGCCGTGGCTGGTCATCGAGCTGCAGGTCTTCAGCTTGCGGTGGATGGCACTGCCGGAGTAGCTGTCCTCCGGCCCCACGTCCCGGGGCTTGGTGTCGGCCTCAATGCCCGACGTGTGGGAACTGCTGTGGCTGGCGGTGGAGTGACGAGACAGGCGCTTATGCTTCATGCTGCCTGCACTGCTCCCGCTGGCCCGGGAGCGCTTTTCCAGCTGGTCCATGTCAAGGTCCAGGTTGTCGCTGATGTAAGATTCCCGGTACTGCTTCTTCTCTGTGCGGTAAGGAACACCCGTCATTATACTCAACCAAGACAGAAGGAGCGGTTGGTGAGCTTAAGTGAGTCGTCAGGCCAAGAACAAGCACAATTTCACACTCAGAATCTAGTGCCTGGAAAGTGGTCCTAATTCTGATAGGCTCTTCACTTAAGAACACTGCAAAACGAATAAAAACCAGGACAACACATTTGAGGGGACTACTTAAACTACTTAAAGAGTTTTAAAGCTTCAAACACTGTTGAAGAGTGCTACTTGACCGACCACCTCTTGTCAGCAATCTGTTATTGGTCCACAGTGACATAAGTTCAGCAAGTGAGAATAAGCATTTAGAAAGTTTTAGAGCAATGTGACATTGTCATGACAGCCAATATGATTTTGTATTTTGCAAAAGTATCGGTCCACAGGAGATTAGAAATTTAAAAAATGTTGTCTTTCCCCACAGATAATTTTAGAAGCACTGCTACAGGAGACTTTAATAAATATAATTATGCTAACTGCCATTGATTTTATTTTTTCATTTGTTCAATTGAGCCCATCGTTTGTTTAGTTCTAACTGTCGAACACAATGTAGAGTAAAACTAGTCTTCTGAGAATTTCTTTCAAATAATTCTAAAATTTAGATGTTCATTAATGAAGACTGCTTTTCTCCATTAGGCTGAATTAGTGAGGCTCAGTCATCTATTTAGAAAACATAGTAATCACCACTGGTTTACCATGTGGCCTCTGACTGGTAAAGACGTTCTTTAACAGGCCAGTGCTGCTCTTTAATGCAAACACTATACAGGGAAGTCCCTTTTATCAAGTGCCGAACTAGCCATTATTACACTAATGCACAAAGTTATAACTGACACAAAAATACCATTGTGTGCTTCACGTCAGAAACTGAAAACAACAAAAAAACAGTTTAACTTCCTTATATTTTTAATACTGATAAAAGTAACAGATTAGAACAATGATGAAAAATGGAAAGGGTATTTGGAGAATGTTAAGTTGACATTATCTCAGAAACTGCTAACTAGTAGACTAACTAGATTCTTAGGGGGTGATAATGAATTTAATCGTCTTGTTTCTTAGTTAAGTAAAAAACACGTCCACTGTTGATGTCTGAATCCAGCTCTGAAGCATAATTGCCACAGGCTCCCCAGAGAGGGAATGAGCATCAGAAGAAAGACAGGCTATGTTTTTCAGGGTGCATAATAGAAAAAATGCTCGGAGCAGGCTAGGGGTACACTTCTGGGCTCTGGCCCATTCACGTCCATTCTAAGGAGTCAGGCTAAAGCACAAAGGCATGTGTGTGTGGCCACTGAGAAAGCAGACTAGAACTGGACATCACAGCCCAACACACACATCACTGAGACAAAAGAGCATCCATCCCATTTTTTAGGGCCAGACTGGATTCTAATGATTCCCATTCTCTGAAGGCAAGTGGGGTTGAGATGAAGATGAGAGCTAAAAGTGTTTACAAAATTCTACAGTTTCTACTTAATAGTTTCAAATAATAGATAGCCATATGACCCTTGGAAGGGTAGCAAGTGAAGGGGGGGAGAAGTAAGAAAAAAAAAAAAAAGAAAAGAAAGTTTCTATAGGGTGTTGGAATTCTAAGACAATTGGGAACTGTAGGTGTAATAAAAGCTTTTCTACCTCTTTACAGTCCTTTTAGTCCTAACTTTCTGGTAGGTTTAGAGCCAGTCCTGGTTCTTCCGCATTCGCTAGCACACCCACTGGCAGACAAGCCCTCAGTGGCTGGCTCTGTTTCCTTCCGAGTGAGAACTACATCACTCGTGGGTGTCCAACACATGTGACCCAGGATGGCTATGAATGCGGCCCTACACAAAATCGTAAATTTACTTAAAACCTTTTTTTTTGTTCATCAGTTTTCATTAGTGTTTGTGTAATTAATGTGTGGGCCCAAGACAACTCTTCTTTTCCCAGTGTGGCCCAGAGATGCCAAAAGGTTGGACACTTCTGACTGACCCTCTGCAAACATTTAAGAAGTTTCACACCATTCAGTTACAAACTGAGGGAAATGCTGAAGTAATTCAGAAATTTAGTATAATAAATGCAAAATGCAGCCTACCAGTCACCAGTGCCAACAACACAGCTGGTCAACATGTCAGTGTTCCTTTATTCCCTCTGAGGTAAAAGCCCGGAGACCCCAGAGTTTTCCATACGTTATTTTAGTATGTAACATAGTTGGCATGACTTCTGGGTAGATGACCTAAGAATAAGCTCTAGCTACTGAATAAAGTTGGGTTAAAATTTTTTTAAAGACAAAGGCATTTCTTCTCTTCTAAACACTGTGGAAGAATTCCTGTGATCATTTTCTACTATAAAATGCTAAAAAAGTATTTCAGACAAGCTAACTCTAAATTAAATTTAATTAAGAAAAACAAGATTCTTTTTGTGATGTTTTGCTGAGCGAGTGCAGAGAAAGGGCTTTCTTAAAAACAAAAAACAAAACAAAACAAAACAAAAAAGACGGAGCCCACAGTGTGGGTGAGATAACAGGATTAGACCAAGGCTGGTCCAGCGAAACTTAATTTCAGGTTTTCTTCGGACCTGGAGGGATCTCTAAACAGAAGTTGTTAAGTATGATTTCTTTGGAAAAAGAAAAAAAAAAGATGTTCCCTCCAAATTTATCTGTACTTGCCCAAATAAAAAAATTCAATTTATAACTTTTTCACCCATTCCTTTATTGTCCTATACATGTACGCCCCCATATATGCACTTGGTACTATGCTTGGTAGTTTACCTCAGACTGTATGGTTCATCACTTCTCACAGGCTCTAAAAAGCACCCCCTCAAGTCACCTAAACAAGAATTTACTAAAATGCTGCTGGCAGAGAGCTGACCGAATAAATGAACTTCTCAAGGCACCAATTAGGAATGAGGCTGACTTGGCAAATGATGGGCTCTGCACCTAAATAAGACACCTACCTATTCTCCCAAGCCTCCCTGGCACTCTGTCCCATCTGAATTCCTTTAATATTCATGTCAGCATCGGAGAGACGTATTTGTTATAACAATGAGTCATCACAGGGAAGAACTGGCAGTCTGGCAGGGAGGAAGCCAAAGCACCCGACAATTTCACCCATCCTCTCCAAAGACACAGTTTGGTGGCAGACAGTGGGAACTGACTCATGCTCTAATCACTACTCACACTACAGTGACATCTCCAAACTGGGTCTCATTTAGACAGAGACAGCTTTTGAAACATATCAATCAGATGTGCAAAACTCTGTAAGGGTTTTTGCTTGTTACGAGAATTTGCCTTGTTTCTGTAGGAAAGGTGGGGACTGAGAGGTCAAAATCTGCTTCAGACATGGACCTAAGATATGAATCTGCATCCTAATGGTCATACAAATGCCTAAAATCTACTAATCCAATTGAATTACCCAGAATTAGCACAACATGAACTTGCAAAACAAATTGAAGACATTAAAAAAAGAACCCCAAACAAAATATGCAAAGTAGTATTTTGGGGGATCAGAAGTTGGAGTGTTAAATGGACAAACTCCAGGGTGCCATGACTCAAGGTAAAGGGTGGACCATGAGCTTAATATTGTAAAGCTGAAGCCTGCTATTAGAGTGCCCATCCCTGCCTTCCTCTTCTCCATGTGTCCCCTTTTCAGGGCCCAGGGTTCTGGGGCCCCCAATAGACCGCTTGATTCTGTCTCTGTCTTGGCAAAGCCCCCAAAGGACGGGCTGATAAAATCCTCAAATAAGAATTTCTCTCTCCTTTGTCATTCTTCCTAAGGCAGCCTTGGGGGCTTCCCTTGCAGTCAATAAGAGAGACAAGAGACATTTCTGTGGCACACCTTATTGGAAGGAATTTCAGATTGCCCGAAGATAACAGAACCATGGTGGATCAGGGTACACACTGAGCTCTGAGATGCAGATAAACTTGACATGAACCCTAACGTGGTGGCTTTTTGCAAGGATTTTCAAGCTAAGCGTGGGATAATTTAAAGAGATTGTGCTCAAGGGTTAGCTAACTGAATGGGATAACCTCAGCTATTTGGGATAGGTATGGTTGGTGGCTATCCCTTGCCTTCTGAAATAGAGCTGCGATGGGAATAGGAATGCTGCATTAAATCTGGAGAGGCCCAGTCCCCAAATCCCACTCCTCAGGAGTCCAAAGCCCCAACTGATGGCAGCTATAGAGTAAGGGGTCATGAGTGGCAAAGGCATCATTTGCTTCCCCATTTGAGACCCTGGGATACCTTCATTTTCCTCCAGCTTCCGGATGTGGCGCAGGACAGGCTGTAGATTCATGTAGAGGCGGTGGCTGTTGCTCAGCAGCTGCAGGAGGTGTCTGGAGCGCATGGGGCACCCCGTGTAGTATATGAGCTTCCTGGCTGAGGGCAAGCCATCTGGCAAGATCTCAAATTTCTTTCCCTGTGGAGGGAAAGCATAAATCACAATTGGGAAGAAAAGCCTTTGATTTGCCAAGGTCTCCTTCATTTTCTATTTAGTAAGGAAAACTACAGACTCAAATAGAAGTGCAGCGGATCCTCAAATAATGTTGCTTTGTTATAACATTGATGAGCTGCTGTAGAAACTTAACTCTTATTTATGGAAATTAGCCTATGTAAAACAGGTTTCATGATCTGTCCTTTTGCTTAAAGTTACTGGATCTACTGATGACTTTAAGTGACGACTTAACCATATAAAGCTCCATTCAAAATTTGCTGAGATATAAATTACTATGTTCCCTATCAAATACACCACAGACAGAGGATTACCAAAAACCCTCTGGGAAAGACCCTCAGGGAAGGGTCTAGGGTCTAGCAAGGGTCTTCTGGAAACCACTGACTGGGTTTCTCTGGCTGGTCAGGCCACTTATCGTACATGACGGAGAAGAGAAGGGTCCATCCTGACAGTACCATCAAATGCAATTCCAACAAATTCTGGAAGTGTAAGACATTCAGATGCTTGTTAAACACTTGCCACGCACCGAACACTGCGCTAGACACTGAGAAAATAACAGTGAATAGGACAGACAAGGCCCCTATACCCCCTTGGAGACACATTTGAGTGGGGCAGATGGTAAATTAACACATAAAATAATTATAGTTTATGATAAAATCTGGGAAGGAAATAAATAGAATTATGATAGTGAAAAATACAGGGTACCTCTTTAGGGTTTAGAAAAATATGTAAAACTTCTCTAGCTGGATAAAAGGGGTTGGAAGCTAGAGAGACAGTGGGAGGGATGGGACAGGAAAGTGAAAGAAGAGATATAGGCAGAGTAAGTATCTATCAAGAGAGATATAAAGAATCTCATCCTTTAGGTCTAGGATCATTTACATAAAGTTGAGGTCAAGGGTGAGAGTTTGGCAGAGCTCCTTATAGTTATGGAATATTATGAATTTCTTTCACTTTCCCATCAATGAATAGTGCAGCAGAATGACAAAAAGGAATATTCCAGACTCGATGATTCTTCTCAGCCAGAGGGGAGAAGTACAGCAAAGAGGGAGGCATATTCTAACTTGGAGTCAGTACAAAGCAATACGGGTTTCTGTAACTCAGACAGGGATGGAATTTTTCACCTCTGGACTTTTAAAAAAACCACCAGTGGATCCCAATGCTAGAAAGGTAATAACTGATACTTAATGAGCACTAAGCAGATATTATCTCATTCATCCTCACAATAAGTCTATGGAGGAGAGCTAAATATCCCCATTTTTAAATGAAGAATCTAAGGCACAGAGAGGTTAAGTAATTTGCTCAACATCAGGGCTGGGCTGGCTGCAAGAAGACTCATCTGGGAAGTCTGTCAAATTAGATTTCCACTCTTCCAACCCACAGCCACTGAAGCAAAAATATCCTAGGGTAGGAGAATGAGGCACAAAAATCTGTCTTCAAAAAGCTCCTCAGATGAGTCTGATGCAGAATTAGATTCAGGAACCCCTTGTCTAGGACCTGTAAAACACTCAATTTTATAAATGCATTTTACTACTACTTAATTTGGGATATGAAAGGGGCAAATATGGTAATAATTTCCTCATTTTCAAACAGCTCAGATCCTTTCACAAAGAGCTGGAACAAAAGAGACCCCCTGAGGAGGAGGCAGGTCAGACCCCATTTAATGTATGAGTAAAGTGAAACCAGATTGAACTGTGCCCAAGTAATTACAGTACTGTAAAGTCAGGAACAGGTCTCTTGACTAACAGAGCAGTGTGCAATCGGTACCCAAATTCTATCCGGCAATTTAGTCCTTTGTTTATACAGACCATCTTCCACACGGGAGAGAAGCCCATTTGTACCTTCCTCCTTTCTTTGTGTATTTTTTCAATAATTTTTTAACAAATTATGTATTTTAATGACTGCTGGATAAACGCACTATTAACTGTAATTCTTTGAACCCTACTAAAAAATGTAGATAGCTGACAAAGTAAAGAAACAGCTGGAAAAATCATGAATTTGCTCTAGCCAACAAACAAGTATACTAGTCTCAATATTCTAAAAATAAAAGTATTTTTCCTGTTAAGAACTCTAGATGTTTCTTTATAATAATGAGTTTGAATGAATCAGGTATTAATAGAAACATCTTTTTATATCACTCTTTATCCTTTGTTCAAAAGAAGTAACTTCCAAAAGAACTGGCCAGCCCCCACATGAAGAGTAACTCACCCCAGGATTAGTTTTCTGTTTTCTAATCCTTCAGCTGTACGTTTTTAAAGTAATTCTATTTAATGACCCAATCTTGTACTTTTCTCACTATATTTCTGCTGCAAGTAGAATAACTTAGGGCAGCGTGGTGAAGACCAGGCACACAAAATAAAATTAGTAATTTATTTTGCTATAAGATGGTTTAATTTTAGGTTCACCACTGATGAGTGACAAGGATTATATAGTACATGTATAAGAATATAAAAAAGCTATCTTCATTGTGAACTTTTAAAAAACATTAACTTTTGTGTCTGGGATAATATTGTTTTAAAAAACAAGTAACAACAAAAATCCATAAAAACAAACAAGTGACTAATTTATTTTAGTCAGTAATTTTAAACTTACCACAAACACCAACTTTCCAACATTTGTCCAGGGGAAATCATAAAGTAACTGTTTCTCTTCATCTAAATTCTGTGGAAAGAATTATACTGCATATAGAGTTACTGATGAAACTGACAGACACTAAAATGGCTCCCATTTATCTCCCAGAAAACTAAAATACATTAATTAAAATCTGAAAGAGGTCTTCAACTCTCTTTGGAGATCTGCAGACAGTAATTAAAAGATTAGTGATGTAATTCTGTAGCTTCTGGTTTGTGAGTGTCTGCATTAACTGGCCCTTTTAAGGCAAACTTTCCTCTTTTGGCCTATTCCTAACTTTAAATAAAAGTCCAAAAGACTCAGGCATTCAAGAGATGAGATAAGGTACTCAGACCTTCATAGCTGGATATTTTGCCTACACTAAATATAAGATATCCTTATATTCTCCTAGGCTCACAGATAGAGGTTATTTTATCCCCCTTGTTGATGGCTGTGGGATGGCACCATCCCACCTACTTATTCCAGGGATAAGCTTTATCGGAAAGTATAACGGAAGTTAAAACATCTGGTCAGGTACTGTATTCATGTCATCTTTACACAGTTATAAATGCCCCAGGATAAAAGAGTAGATTTTAAGTCACACACAAAATGGACATCTATCAGTTACAAACATGGGCCAACCTTTGGTTTTTTGTTTTCTGTTCTAGAGGAGTTACTACTAACAAAGTTTAGAGTGCATCACTTTGTCTATCCCACAGTGTCCACATCTGTGGTAGACAAACAGAAGTAATGAACAATCCATGGCCACAAATGGACCGGTGAGCCCATCACAGGACCACACAGGGACAGTGTCAATTAAGACAGAGTAGATGGGGGAAAAGGTACAGGGAATAAGAAGCATAATTGGTAGGTACAAAATAGACAAGGGGAAGTTAAAAACAGTATGGGAAATGGAGAAGCCAAAGAACTTACATGTATGACCCATGGACATGAACTAAGGAGGGAAGGAGTATGGGTGAGAGTGGGGGATGCAGGGCAGAGGAGAATAAAGAGGGAAAAATGGGACAACTGTAATAGCATAATCAATAAAATATATTTAAAAAAATTTAAAAATAATAAAGAAAAAGAAAGAGTAGATACTATTTGACACTTACTTCTCTCATTTACTAACCTGGAAAATCTGTATTCCCCGCATGGTCAATCCAAGGGTCAAAGAAGCTTCAATTTCCCTTTTATCCTGTAGGAATTTTATAAAAAAGTATATTTTTCTTCAACAATAAACAATTCAGTACCAAAGAAAAGAAAGAAATTTCAGAACTGGAAAGTGTTTGACTTGAAATAACTCTGCTCGTCCTTTGCATCCCTAGTTTTCTATAAGCTTTAAGAAATTCATAAGCACGTGGTAAATCAATAATGGTATACTCTGTATTTTTAAGTCCTTGAGATTTAAAAGTGTTTTTCACTGTTAAATCTGTTTTCATATCTGACAATATTCTAAATACTTATGTTTTCAAGAACTCCAGTAAATAAGCCTATTTTTGCAGCTTTTGCATCATTTTTTTTTACCTTCCACCTTATACTTAACCTTTTCTTAAATGTTAGCATTTTAAACATGTCACAGTTAAATTGTGAGATGCACTAAACTTCATATGTTTCAACCTGGGTACACTTCCAGCTCAGAAGCTAAAATTGGAGGCAAGCCTAAATATTTAAGGGTCTCCAATGAGGACAGGTAATAAAAGCTGTAAAAGCTTTATATTCCATGTTTTTTAAAAAATACTTATTTTTAAAATGTTCAATTATTACTTGCCAAAATGATATATATTCTATCAGCTAAACTATAAACTATAAACTATAATGTACAACTATCTAGGAAAAAAATTCGGCAATTAAGAATGCACTCAGAAATTTGGCCATGTCTTTTAAGTGCTTATCTGTAATAAGTGGATATAAAATATAAAGTTTAAAATAAAAGATACATAAAATTACTAAGTAACTATTTTTGCTATGAGATTTCTCAGTACAAGCAATAAATGAATATGTACAGATATGTATTATCTTTTGTCCAGTTTTCCCATGAACATGGTTAAAAAAATATTTTTGAGAAATGTATCCTCACCAGGCATAGAAAAGAGAAGACATGGCCTGTTTTTGCTTTTTGGGCTGTTTTTTCCCCAACAATATATTTTTACACCAACAAAGGCTCATACAGTAAAAGAAACCAATCCATCACTATGAGTTTAGGCCAATCATCCTTTCAAGGCTGTTCTGTTGCTTCTTGAAATGAGACTGTGCTCATAAAAACGCTGGTTGTGTGTGTACGAGTGTGCAATATTCGAGGAGGAGCACAGAATTCCTTTTCTCAGAAAGTTTCCTGTCCTTCATCTACCTTATTTCAACCCTATAACCAGGCCTTAAATGAAGCAGTTTTCATAGCTGCCGCTTGACTTCTCCAAAGAATGAAAACTCTGCTCACGAGGCAGCAATATCTGTTTCCCCATTCCACTCAGTTCCATTGTTATTATCTCCTTTTAAGAAGACAAGAGTAATTTTCTCTAGCAAGTAGAGGTATTACACTTTCAGTAAATTTGACAGATTTTTATACAAAAGATGAAGTGAGGATATCTACTTCACCAAATGATTCTTAATAGGAATTTTTTTAAATACTAAACTTTCTTATCAAATAAGAATCACTACTGTACCAGGCACACCACCTGGTTATTTCAGATTCATTATCTCGTAGAATTTTCTCAGCTTTGGAGTCATTCCCACTTAATAGATGGCCCAGGATTATATTTGGTTGGGGCCCCCAGTGATAATCAGTGGTAATACAGAGTTTCTAACTGATATTTGATTCCAAAGCCACACTCTTTTCAATGCATCACTGATACTTCCAATACATTTTAAAATTCTAAACTAACTGTTAAAATTGTTATTTATTTGCATTTTTCCTATAAATTAAGTGTCACAAGTAAAATATCTTAAAGAAAAAAATACCAACTCAGTCCTTTAGGAATTTAGCCAAGATTTTATGGAATTCAATTATGCCTGTCAAGGATGACAGGGCATTAACAACACACCCCTTGGGCATGAAAGAGAGGAAAAAAATGCCATCCTTTGGTCCCTTAGTAAGTTTTCTGAACCAGGAAGGATCATCACCAGCAGTATTTCCAAACTACATCCCAGTCTCCAAAACTCCAGTTATGCTAATCTTACTAAGAGGGGTATAGTGGCGATAATAAGCATAACAATGACAATGGTAACAAGTGCTTGAAGCACTTTTCATCCATTATCCTTTAGGTCTTCAGTAAACCTCAGAGGTGTTACCATCCCCATTTAACTATGGGGAAACTGAAGCAGAGAGGTTAAATAACTTGCCTAAGGTCACATGATAAAAGGTGAAGTTGGGAGTCAATCCCAGAAGTTAGGTGCAACAGACCACACTCTGAACCACTTCATCCCATTTGGTTTGAGAATATACCTCTGTATTCCTAAGTGGGGATTTCAGAGTTCTTACCAAAGATGTGACACTTAATGAAATAGGAGAGGAGTGGGGAGGAGGAGGCATAAGGGAAGAGAAGACAGACGATGATCAACAGTAGTGTGAGTGATTGGCCCCAATTGTTATTTGGGTGTGTGACCTTTGACCTCTGAAGAAATGAGGCTAGGGATACACAGGACACAAAAGAGGGTAGCAAACATCAGAGGCTGAGGGAAGCACACAGGCTGTTTGCAAACAGACCCTGGTTGAATCCTGGCTCTGCCACTTACTCGGGTTGTGGTCTTTAGTCTGTTTCCTCGTCTGTAAAATTGAAGATTATAGTTCCTATCTTACAGAGCTGTGAGGATTTTTTTTAAAAGGATAAACATACAGTGTGCCTCACAAACACAGGGCTCAGTAAACACCAGCTGACACGGTGATGCTCTTGTCGGTAATGGATACGATGCAGGCATGACTTCACTTTGAGGAGCATTAAAAACTACTGATTAAACAAGTTGCCAGAGTTACTCCCCTAGGCAGAAACGCAGATTTGGAAAGGAGAAAAAGAACTATTTCCTATCACTGAAAAGCCAGATTCACAATTTGCAGCCAGTGTTATCTCAGCATTGAACCATGGAAGCCTCCATCCCAAGCCAGAGGAAAAGCATCACCAACCCCAAGACTGACCTATGATGACAAACAGTGGGCTCCATGAAGCTCTGGTAAAAGCTCATTAAAATGTGAAGTGAGAAATTAAAAAAAAAAGCTTCTTGGGAAGGAGAAGGAAGTTCTTCTCAGAAGCTGCAGATGCACTGCAGCTTTGTACCTTATATAGTCTGTAGTAGTGAACGGCGACATCATCCAGTCGGACGGCCTCTTTGATATATTTAAGATGAGCCTCAGAAGCTGTCAGTGCAAACTGATCTTTGTGCATGTTTGGAATGTGCTTCAGGATGTAGTCCTTCCCTCTCTTGGAAACAACCTGTTGGAATACAATGGGTGTGCAATGCAGCATGTGTTGGAGGGATGTAAGTACCCTCATCCACAAATAATGAAAGGACAAGGACGTAAAATAAGTCATATAAACTAGCTAATGCCTATTAGAAAATTCCTACTTTTACTCTGTTTTCACCATTGGTTATGTTACTAGGCTGAATCAGCTAATACCAAACACTACAAAGTCAGTTTAGCTGTAGTACTGCATATCTAAGAAATCACAAGAAATGGCAAAAATATGTTCCCTTGGCTTTAAACTCACCAAGAACCACCGCCCCCCCCAAGCCAAAAACAAAACCATGCAACCTTGCAAAATTTTTGTACACATCATTGCTTATACTCGCAAATTACTGGTACCATGAAATACATCTCCTGTCAGCACATCTTCAGGTTCTGGATCCTACTTAACTCTTCTAAAATTACAGCCACAGAGTGGGAGGTTCTAAATGTTAATCCAAAGAAAGCAGGAGACCGTGAGAAATTCTCTGAAATGTGTGGTTTTTGCCTAACAGCCTGATATGAACAGTCTATTTGAATACTTACGAAAAAAACAATTTCTTTCATACATTCATTGCAATTCATTGTGCCTGTATTTTCATCAGCCAGTAGCCCGAGCTTTTAGATGTCAAAAATACATAGTAACTAGCAGCTGCTGGCTTAGAAAAAGGTGTTGATTAGTTAAAGGGCCTACCTGATTTCATAAGGATTATACAATGAGGAAAGAATTACACAAAATAAGAGTGGTGTTTAAAGTCATCAGAATAAAAAATTAGAGAATTTTTAGTTTTCAAATGTTTTTATAAATACTGACAATTTGTTTCTACTGAATTAAATATGATAAATTACCAGCCAATTATCAAGTTCTGCTGAGAATTCAAATTACAGATTTTTCTTTCTAGATGCCTTTTACATGGAGATCATCTCTATCTGTGCTTGTCAACCTTTCTCAGGTCAAAGGACACGGAGAAAATAGTATTTGGTAGGGCAGTGAAGGAGTGGCTTTGCAGATCCAAAGGGTTGAGGACACTGGTACCTGGGTGCCCCAGGTGCCATGGCACACTGATTGGGAAGCCCTGATTTAAGTGACCAAGGTTCAGTGAGTACCTGATGATAATTAGGGAATGTAAAAACAGGCTAATTTTGGTCCAGCTTGACACCTTCTGCAGTTTCTCTTCCAATAACTGAAGCACTGTCAAATGTCAATTAGTCAATAAAAACATATATTGAGCACCATACTGTTAAGTGCTGAAGAAAGAGAAAAGCTTAGGTTTATGCCTGTCCTTAAGAACATACCAAGAAACACCAAGTGTGCTGTGGGTACGGAAGAGAGCGGGCAAAATAAGATGTAAAACCCAGGGTTCTGCCGAGCCCAGAGGAGGGGTGCTGGGCACCTGGACAGTCTATCACAGAAAACTACACCTGAACTGAGTTGTGGAAGATGAACAGTAGTTGGGGGAAACAGGGAGAAGGGCTTCACAGGCTAAGAGAATCGGAGGAAGGAAAGTCAGACTGTGAACCACCACAGGTGTGGAGACACAGGAATTACTGGGTGATGCTACAGCACAAAATTCAAGGAGCAGAACAACAGAATGGGATCTGGAAAGGCTGGCAGAGACCACATCCTGCAAAGCTCCTCAGTCATGCTTGGGAGCCTGGGCTTCACTCTGCAGGTGGCGGAGAAGCCTTTGAAGGTTTGAGTCAGAAGCAGAATCAGTGCTGATGAGAGCCAGAACCTGGGAGATGGGAGGAACGACAACGGGGAAAGGATGCAATAGACATTTAGGAAGTTGACAAAAATACAAGAGAACTTTTCTTTGTAAGCTGGGTGACGGGTTATCAAGTGTCTGTATAAGACGATGCGCTGGTTGACTGGATGAGATGGGGAGAAAGATGAGATAAGGGAGAGTTCTGAATGACTCTGGTTTCCGGGTAACCAGTGGGTGGCAGTGCCAGTAGCTGCAGTTAGGAACTCAGAGGTAGGGATACACAGAATTGAGGTGGTGGGAAGATGAATCTCACTTGGCACATTTTGAATTTGAGAAGAGAAACCTTTGGGTAAACAGCTGTCTCATGGACACAGAGGAGAGGTGGTTATTAAAAACATTCTACTGGATGAACTCTCCCAAGGTTGGGATGGGTTAAGTGTCAGATGCAGCTGAGAAATTCAGGAAAAGAAGTGAAAAGTGTTCATCAGTGACCTCAGGGTCAGCACTATGAGTGGGGCGGTGGGGAAAGGCAGATGGAAGTGGGTCGAGGAGTACATGTGGGAAGTAAAGAAGCTAGAAAATCAAATATACATTACTTTTCCCAGAAGCTTTACTGAGAACGGAAGGCCGGAGAGGCAGTATTTCTTTCCCTTCTTTCTCGCCTGAGGACAGGGCAGTGTGAACCAAACATGTCATGTGTGTTCTGAGTGAAGGAGAGTTAGTCTGAGCAGAGGCTACAGGTACAGAAGAGAGAGAAGTTAGAGCAGAGACCTGGAAGAAAGATGGGAACAGGTACAGAAGGGGCAGGTAGAGAAAGGACGGCTGAGACAGTTCATGCTGAAATAACCCTAAATGTCCTTGTTGAAGTGAAGGAGGCGGTGGTCAAAACACGCAGTTTACTTACACAGAGGGGCCCTGACTTACGATGATTTGATGTACGATGGTTTGACTTACGATGGTGTGAAAGCAATACCCATTCAGTAGAAGCCATACATCAAATTTTGAATGATCGGTCCTCTCTTGTGATGCTGGGCAGTGGCAGTGAGCAACAGGACCATGAAGTTAAATAACTGATTTACCAGCAGTTTTTGTTTTAGTTCAAGGCTTCAAACATGCTTCAGGCTGTTTTCAAGCTTTCTGCTGGGTTTGTCCACACTGGGTGCCCAGACAACCATTCTGACTTTCATTTTCAGTATAGTACTCAATAAATTACATGAGATATTCAGCACTTTACTATAAAACATGCTTTGTGTTGGATGATTTTGCCTAACTGTAGGTGGGTGTAAGTGTTCTGAGCATGTTTAAGGGAGGCAAAGCTAAGCTATGATGTTTGGTAGGTTAGGTATGTAGAATGTGTCTCAACTTACGATATTTTCAAATTACAATGGGGTTTATTGGGGAGGAGAAAAATGCTGATAAAATGAAGAGTAAGGAAGAAGATCAAGGCCATGTAAATGTCAAAAGAAAGCTGGCAAATTCCAAGTTTCACCATCTTTAGAATGGACAGCAATCACCTTCTGCATTAACTATCAGCTGAGAGTATATCAAGAGATTGCGGGTACCATGCTCCCAAGTGTTAAATTTATATTTAGGCATCACAAAGGGTTTCACTAGCCATAAAACATCTGGGTTCCCATTTCTTGAGCCAACAAGAGTAGCAGCATAATCAACTAGGAACGTGCTAGAGAAAACACTAGAATTTGAAAACAGTGCCTACCCAAGATGGGAAGTAAGCCTCCGGCTCAAAGTATTTTCCATAGTGTTTATTCCTTTTGAAGTTCCCAAGATCAGCCTGCAGGGCAAAGGCTGCCAGCAGGAAATAGGCCTCCTCTCGGAGCACACACTGAGAATGAAGAACTTGTTTTCTCAGGTGCCAGTAATAATAGTATCTTGCTGCTCTGTCACTAGGAAAATAAAAGAAAACAGAACGCACATTTTGATGGTACAATCCAATGGCATGTAAACAGAACCCAAATCCTGCTACCCATCTGCTGACAAGGGCTCTTCTGTTTCTGTTCCCTCCTCTGCCCTCCCTCCCCACTCACTGAAAAAAGGGGCGCCTGTAGGGAACACCTGGCTGCCGCCTCCCTGCATTCTAAGTCAGACTACCCTCACTGAAAAAAGTAACATTTCTTAAGATCTGTAACATATGATTCATTCAGAGACTAGAAAAAAGGTCTGAATCATTCCACTCTAATATGGTAAACATTTCATGAAACAAGTATGACAACAGAAACCTAAGCATTTGTTGTATTAAAATAATTTTGTTACACTAATGCTATACGCATAACATAAAGACAAATCTGAGGGGACAATCTTGGCTTTAATGTTTTGCTACTCTTTTTTGTTTTTCAGCTGAGTACATTACAAATACTCTCAGGTCCTTTTAAAAATGTTTGTTTATATGACTGTCCAGAAAAAAATGAACTATAAATGGTGTGTTTTTTTCCTCTCTCAGAATGAACAAACTGAAAAATGCTTACCTTAAATCTTTTTTTATTAAGTGTATGTTACTTTACGGGTGTGTTTTAATAGGCACATGTTATGACAATCATGCTACTCCTCAAAAACGGAAAAACTACTAGTGTGCTCATTACCATCTGCTGAGGTCAGAAATAAGTATAGTCCCCATTAAACATGCTGAGTAAGAAGTGCTGACTGGGAAAAACATGGTCAAGCTTCAAAAGATGTCAGAGGCATACAGGACGCCTTTGTGATCCAAGTAAAAATGAAAAAAGAAATGCACGTGTCTATTTAATGCACTTATTTGCCTCCCTATTATTTAGGTTGAATGTTTACCTGACATTCACAGCTCATTAGCTGATGATAATAACATATGGGTTTATTTTAACCAAGACCATGTTTAAGTATAAAGGGTTTAAAAATAAAGCATTTAACAGAAGCACAATAAAAACAAACAAAAAGAATAAAAATAAAGCATTTATGTAATTTTTTTCCCCTTGGGACAAGGTACTTTTTGGAGCAATTCTTTTTATAGTGCTGACCACTCAGTGTTTGGACTAGTTCATCCCAAGGGAAAAGGGCAGAAGTATTGGCATAAATTAAACATTCATTAGCCCTAGGGGGTTAATTAGTGGCTAAATAACATATTTTCTTTCTTTCTAGTGCATTCCATACTTAGTAGGTAAGCTGAATAAAAATTTTATATAAACTGGGAATAGCTAAGAAGTTTCTCAACTCTTTAAAAAATTCTGCATGGGTTAATATATTTTATATTTTAATGTACAAGCAGCAATGATATAAATTTTAAGAGTGAAGATACTAGCCAAATGTATCTTTGTCTCTTACATGGGGTACATGGGGTTTCTCAAAGTTTAATTATAAATAAGTAAAGCACCAAGTTCACATTTTTAGTATTTTCTATCAGCCAACAAAATCACCTCTGAAAGTTTCAACTGATAAACCTGCATTGGAAATAGTGAATTCTGAGTTTGTATCGTGAGCAAAGTGTTGTTCACGCAGCCACCTCCAAAAAGAGAATCAATTGCCCTCTCTCACTAAACTGCATCAAAGATTCTCCCAGGATGACTCCAATGGGTGTAATCTTACCTTTAAAGTTACTGCCAAGAGCAGAAGCAAGACCCCCAAAGTGAAAAGAAGACCAGACTGAGTAACAACACCCAAGCATTTGTACGGGAGATGGTCCTTCCTGCTGTCCCACTCCCCTGCCGCCACCGGAAGAGAGTTCAGTTCTGTCATCAATTTCTCCACACTACACAAAAGTGCTAGTTCTTTCTTGAATGAAGTATCTTTTTGGTGAATGATGTGTTATGGAAAATGTGGAACACAGAAAATATGAGCCAGTGACATTGCTAACATTTTCATCGACAGCCTAACATGGTCATTCACTCAACAAGTATTTACTGAATGCGCACTGTACCTCTGTTGTAGGACCTGAGGATATGTGTATGTAAAAAGATTAAAAAAAAATAAAAAATTCCTGCTCTCATAGAATTTATAGTCTAGCAGGCGGAGATGAACAAGCATGAGTACTTTACTCAGTTTTATAAGCACTTTACTTGGTTTATTTAATATTGGAAGATGAGTGCTATGGGAAACGAAGGTTTGGAATCCCTCCCTGTCCACACACCTGATCAGCCTGCCATTTTCCACGTAGTACTGCACACGGAAGTGGATGATCATAGGGGGCCCAAACTGGTCTATACCCTAAAACAAGGACACAGAAAAATCGAGCTCTTGTTAGTTATGCCAACAATGGATTTCAAAAGTAATAAAATACCATTCTTTACAAGATACTTTTTAAACACTGAAAGGTTTTATTTACTTCTCACGAGTGTGGCCTTGCAGTGGAAAGACAGTTGTCCTGTACGGATGCCAGGTTCATGCACAACCAGGAAGTTAAAAAGCATCTTTACTGTATTTGATACTCATTCACTATAATGCCAATGACAACATAAGGGAAGATAAAAATAAATGCCAGTGGAAATTTCTAGCTGCCTTCCAGCTCCTTTCTCAGCTCTGTCCCCTGTGGTGACCATTTGCTCCTCATTACAAATGTTCTCTTGTTCCTCTGACATTCCACATACCAAATTCTAATATGCTGTTTGTTTATTTAGACATTCATGCTCCTTACTTTGTAGTTAGCTTTGAAGTAGCCTTCCACTTTATTCCATGAATTCTTAAATACAAATTGGAGGGTCTAGGATTAGACACTGGGGATTTATTCTTGATGTACTAGGGTGACCCTGAAAACACTAGTGCTCCCCCATGTAGACAGAATTGATGTTTATTAAAGAAAGGCAACCAGAACAATAAAATAACAAAGTATCAAATGTAAGGGTAGTAAAAGCAGATTCAAAAATTGCTAATAATACTAAGAATGTTAGTCTTGACAACTAGATAGCCATGGAAGAGGAACATGTACTTCTTTCATGCTTCTCAATTTCAAAGCATTACCTCATGATTACTGAAAAGTTATCCAACATTATGTCAGCAGATGTACAAAATCTAGTTATATGCTATAAGCTATTAATATTTCATTAAAGAAACATTTTAGAACTTAGAAAACTCATTTCCCTTTTCCATTTTCTCTGCTGTATAAAATGTTTCTGGTATTTTTAATGTATAATAGCTAAAATAAACCTTTAAAAAATCAAGATAATTTTGCTCATAAATGTAATCTCACCCAAGTGACTTCGTATTGTCGTACCTTGCTGGCCTCTTTCTTCCATTCTTTTGGACAATATTTATAAAGCTTTTGTGACAACTCCATATACACATGTTCATTATCTGCACATTAATTCAAAAAAGGAGACAAGATGATAAAAAAGGTTAGATTTTTTAAAAAAAGAATATATACAGAAACAGATTTTTAAAAAGTCTCAAGATCTGTGAATGTACTCTGAATTCACATACTACCGAGAAAATGCACCAAGATGCTAGGACATAAGCTCTGTGGCCCAGACATTAACAAGGTTCTTCATGAATTATTTTGCTTTTGTAATACAGAACACATACTATTAAAACATGTAATAGAAGAAATATTAATTTCCTACTCTTACTTTTACTTAGTTTCTAGGGTCATTACAGCTTATGGTCTAACTTCCAACACTGTGGGAGTTACTTGGGCTTTTTATCAACATGTGCTTTTGTTTGGCTCACAGAAAACTGGTCTCACAAGTACAAAATAATGAAACAATGCAGAAACACCATCTCAACTGCTATTTAAGAAATTAGAAAACACTGATGATAATAGCATATTTTCAAGTGAGGAGCCTGACCCATGCTTTGTGAAGAACAGTCCTTAAGTGTTCATGTAAAATACAGCATGACAAAATGATAAGCCATTACTCATACGGCCTTTGGGATTGATTTTGTGGGAAGAGGAGAAGAATCTTATGCAAAACAAGAATGAATGCCAAAATAGTTCAAGATGAACAGAAAATAAGACTGCTTAAAAACCCATGTAAAAATGATCTACACGTGTGAAAACAAGCTAGTAAAAAACATTAAAAATTTTCAGACTTCCCAAAGAGAATCTTTTAAGATTTATTTCCTAAGAAAAGCCTTCAGCATTCCTATCTTGTACAAAGTTTTTAATCTTTATTTTTTTTAAAGTTTATTTCTTTTCCTCTAATCTCACTAAGGGGGCAGGCTCATGGACAGTGATACATAAAAATGTACTCATTCTGGAAGGAAAGTCTGTCTGACCACCCCAATGACAACATATTTGACCACGCTGTCACTCCTGACTAAATGCTGGGGTTCGACTGGAGAATGCCATAAAAGAGGAAGGGTAAAGCCACTCTTTGTCTATAAATGACAATGTTAAGTCAACCAATTTGAATGAAAGGGATAAGAAAAAGTCCCACAGGAGGAACAATAAAAGGCTTCTTCAACCCACTTATCAGACCAATTTACACCACCTCCCATCTCTCATGTGCTACTGATTAAACATGAAATGGACAAGACCAGACAACCTTCCCCTTGAATCTGATGTGTTTTTGGCTTGAGTTCCCGTGTGAAGAAGCAACATCATGAAGAGAACTGAGACTGTTCACCATAACAGAACATACATATTTTTAAAGTACCACTGTCTCTGCCATCTGACAGTTTGACTGGAGCGTTCTTCTTTACAAATTCTCAAGCACACATCAATCTTGCAAAGAGGGTGGCACAGTAATTTCCATTTGACATGTGAGGAAACTGAAACTGAGGAAGTCAAGTGACATATCTAAAGCTACACAGCTAGCTAGTTGTAGAGTCAGAATCAGAACCAGGTCATTGGATTTCTATTCCAATGTTCTTTCACCATATTACAAACTCTCTTTTAAAAAGAACATCTTAAAAACCCTTACTTTTTAAATTTAAGGCCCTGGCTAGGTTGGTTCAGTGGACTGAGTGCCGGCCTTGTGAACCAAAGGATCACAGGTTCGATTTTCAGTCAGGGCATGAGCCTGGGTTACGGGCTGGGTCCCCAGAGGGGATCATGTGAGAGGCGACCACACATTGATATTTCTCTCCCTTCTTCCCTTCCCCTCTGTCTAAAAATAAATAAAAAATATTAAAAATTTAAAAAAAATAGAAACTTAAGGAAGCTGTAAACTAGTTTTATTAGACTCACTTTTGAACAACAAAGATAAACAGTCTGGCTGTAGTTGTAGTAAGAATGAATTTCGAGTATAAAGTAAAAGTGAATTTACTCAGGATCTATAGGGCAACTTATTTCCTCCCAGACTCTTTTCTGAAAGAACAACTGAGGTAGGTATGTGCTAATACAAGGATGAGCTAAGTAAGCATTTGTGTTTTTATTGCCTTCCCAAAGGAAGCAACTTAAGAGCAAATGGTTGATTCACTGATTCCTGGTGTGTGTTCCCTGGTCTGGTCTCATGTGAAAATACTACTGGAAACAGCTCACATTTTGGAGAAGGGCCTTGTTTACTGGCTAATTGTGATATGCTTTTCCACCTGACAGACCTAAGCATTTTATGGTACTAACCAGAGTCAAGATATCATAAGCCTTTAAATTTAAACCAATTCCAATAGTAGAAAATAACTCATATCCAAGTATTAAACATAAAAATGTTTCATAAAAAATTCTTCTTGAAAAACTGAACAAAGATAGATTAAATTAGAAACATTTTAAAATATAAATTGAAAGAAGAAAGCTTATAAGGAATAGCCATCCCAGGTAAACCCTGGGAACTTAACTCTAACTGAAGTGTTAGGGGGAGATGAGTCCTTTACTTAAAAATCTTCCCCATATAAAGTATACAGAGGAAACTAACCTCACATCTCAAAGTCATGTATTCTGACTGGAAAAAAGAGAAGGGTAAGAAGGGAAAAACAGAAAATAAGAGTAAATTAATTGATCACTGTTATATAGTCAACTGAATTAGTCAGTTCTATTACGTCTACATTTCATGCCAAAAATTATAAAACAAATTGAATTACAAAACATTGAAGGTAATTTCCTACTAGCTCCAGCTGCTCCCTCTGTTCAAGAAAACAAAATTGAAGCTTGGTTCATTAAAACATAGAAAAGCAAACACATAAAATCCAGACTCCTAAAGAGGAAACAATTTTTAAGTTCAAACTATAATAAATACATGATCTAAGATTCTAAATCTTGTAAAAAATACACAAGAGTTAAGTTTAAAAAATGAATACTAGAATAAAAATAATGATTTAAGTTACAGCTATAAAATGTCATTTCCTTAGGACAGTTGGCTAGGTCCAGCAGAGATGAGAATAAGACTTACTCTGTATCACACTGAGTCCAAAGAGGTGGCAGTCCTTTAGCCTGAGCAGGTCACACACCTGGACCAGCAACTGGTGACACAGAATTTTAACCTGGAGGAGGGAAAAAAACACAACTTGAGATAATAATTCAACCAAGTCCACACAATGAACCACAATGGGCAACTGAATGCATCCTAAATGGAGGCCTTGAAAGGACAGGCTGACACCAGCGAAACGACCGTTGGTTTGCTGCAAGGACAGCAGAGCTGATCTGAGGCTGTGTTTCAACAATGATGATCCCAGGACAGATTCCAACAACATGGAAACAAAGTACCAAGGCAAGCTTATAGAAGACTCAAAAATCTCATGATACACAGGCAAGGCCTCAGTCTTAACCCAAGGTGCATGATAAATATTTCAGAAGAAAACTCAAAACAGCCTACTCAGGTTATCAAAAGTTTAAATTTGGCAGCATTTTTATAAGGAATGTTTTCCTCTTGATGGTCTAAGCAAAATACTCATATACTGTATGATATATGAACTCCTAGCTTTTATTTATCTTAATTAATGATTTTATTGTCTTGTACCTTTTAGGTACCTAAACCAGGTTCCCTTTCTGAATTCTTATATAATTCAAATATCATAAAACCACATTAATTTAAAACTCTGGGAATACATTATTCTGAAAAGTCACATGTTAAATGATAAAATAGTCCTTAAAAGACAGTTTTAAGACTTATCAAATGTTTAATGAAGTATTCTGGGGGATTGTAACTGTGCTGAGCCTACCTTTGTTGAATTCAGAATCACTAGAACTTAGAGTTGTAATTGACTTTCAGAGACCAAAGCAGTCAATTTCTTCATTTTGTAGAAGTAAAAAATAAAACCCAGAAAGCTTAAAGTGCCAAAGGTGGTAACTCACAATTTTGCTCATTTGTGTACTATAACATTTTTATATGTGTATATTAAAATATGTGCAACACCTCTCTAATATGTGGCATTTCACCTCTCATTTGTACTATCACTTGCAAATGCTATCTTTAATGATAGTGATGCCAATTTACAGTTTTAATAATTATAAAATCTAAATCAGTTAATTCCGAGTTAACAACTTTTTATCATTCCTTAGTATGTAACTCAGATTCAGAAAATAAAAACATGCTGAGATTCCTTGATAGTTAACAGGCAAAAATTCAGAATGGTGAGTGACAAGTGGAGTTAAGAAAAATAAGTTTACTGCTCTTCTCCACATTCATTATTAAATGGCAACTAATCTGAAGCACCTTATCTGCTGGAAAGTGCAAAAGGTCTTTAGGTAAGGCCAGAGTAGCACAAATTCAGCTTCCTAGGAGCACCAGGAACTCAGTGTAGCTGGAATGGTGTCTTATTTTATATTCAAGATATATAGTAGGCACTCAGTAAATATTTGATGAATGAAAGCTAGGAGTCTGATTTCCCTGTGGGCTCCTTTTGTTCTGTTCTACCACTACAGACTACTCTCTGACCTACAGAATGAGATCATTTAATAAATGTGCCATACAAGAATTTAGGGAAAGTGTGTTAATGCAAACCCATCAACAACACTGAGAAATTACACTCGCCAGTAGGAAATCATTATCTTTTTCATTTATTAAAAATACCTTGGGTTTTGAGTTCTATATTACCATAATTCCACTTTACAAATAAGCTTACATAAACAGAATGAGAAAGGAAAAAGTATCACATGTTATATAAAATTAAACTATATACTACAAATTTGAGACTTAGAATGTCATACAGTTTGGGGCACCTTTAATCCTTAGTTTTGACTGTATTTAAAAATGTCATATACAAAGCACTTGGGATAAAATGTGATGAAAAGTTTTTAACATAAGAATTCTTAAACCACAAACTGTACATAAAAATAAACTATGCTGTCTTGTGTAACTCGTGTTCAAATAATGCTGCACATTTCCTTCATACATCCCATGTAATTATTATTATTATTCTGTAAGTTAAAATCAAGTATTTGCAGCCTACTGATAAAGCTCTTTAACAACTACCAGGTAAGTACAGTGTTCTTGTTTAAAAACTGCAATTAACTAAGGCTGTGGCTCTGAAGTCTTACCTGCTGTGAAAACAAGCTTGAGTTTTTTGTATTGGCATACTATAAACCTTTTGAGGCTACATTTTAGCTGTTGTGAAATGTTTCATTCTTTAATCTTTGGGAGAAATGGGAACTTTAAAAAGTGCTATAGAGTATGAGGTATGGAATAAGAATTAAGACATTATCTAAAAATATACTCTACATGGAAATTTTTAACAAAAACAGCATTTGATCCTAAATATCAATGGTTTTTGGGTACAGATATTTAAAATATGGTCCAGGGGATAAAAACAAAACAAAACAAAACAAAAAACCCAAAACAAAAAAAAATGTCCCCTCTAGTCTCAGTTAAGAGGTATAAGCTCTTGGTCACAATTTATGTCACTCATAAATTTTTGGCTCTTATATTTACCATGATTTTATTTATAAAAATTTCCAAATTTCCACATTTGATATTTATCTGATGATTAAATCATTTAAAGCAGCCCCTATTAGTGAAACTCACAGAGAATTTGGAATGACCAAAACACTAAATTTACCCCACATGCAGAAAGATAACATTCTATCAATACACTTTCAGGAAGTAAATTTATTTGCTTAAAAACCAATTTAGAAATGAAGAAAAAAATAGGCCATGAATAAAATAGTTTTTGTTACAGTTTATTTGTTACACTACAACTCTACGGACATCAGCTATTTTTCTGAACACAAGAATAACACATACTTCCAGAGGTGTGAAGTGCAGAAACAAGCAAAACTACTCTCTGGTGACAGAGGTAGGAATAGTTGCTACCCTTTGGGTGGAGATTATTAACTAGGAAGAGAAACAAAAGATTGCTCTGGGGTGCTAGGAATGTGCTGTACCTCCAGTTGGATGATGATTACATGGATGTATGTATTTGTAAATATTTGCTGAGCTGCACACTTAAGATTCTTATATAATACTTTGCTGCATATAAATTATAACTCAGTTTTAAAAGTTAAAAAACTGTCATATTCCTTAATGTTCAGGTAAGCTAAAGAGAATTAATGTTGACTCATGAAGCATAAGCAATGGATTAATGTTCAAAACACAGACTATTCTTACAATTAGCTAAACTTGGGCTACTATTAAAACAATGATCAAAACACACTAAAAAGCTAGTAATTATTACCATTTCACATGGGTAAGTACAAAAGTATTTAAAAAGCAAATTCATATTATATATCCATAAAAATTGTATTTCAATAAAAAATTTAAAAATAGCAAAGTTTTTATTTTTCTATAGTATAGTAACCAAAAATCTCTACTTTTACCCTAGGCAAGAGAATGTTGAAGGCAGCAGCGCTTAAGCCATAACTCAAAGTTCATACCTGTGCAGACTACTTTAACACCCCGACCTGCAACATTATTAATGGTCTCATTCTGTAATAATTTCACCCTTAATGGATCAAGTCACAACTTGAACGTGGTCACTGGTGGGAACACAATTATTTCAACATTTCTTAAGTGGGATCTACTCACATTTATGATGATGTTCAGAGACTCATCATTGGGAAGGAAAATACACACACTCCGGCGGTCTTGCATGACTCTGTTGTTATGAAAGTTCAGTTTGTTCATTGTGTGTGGGCTCTCTAGTGGTCAGGACTGGGCTCCGAGTCCTCGGCAATTCCTCTGGTTCCGAGAACTCCAAAGCCAAACTCTGCTCCTCATCACACGCTCTACAGGAGAAGCATCATGCTGTTCCACTATGTAGGTTTCATAGCTGTAAAAAAAAACCAAAAACCCCAAAGAGGCCATGAATGAAGGAGGCGAGATTGGTGAGGAGAGACAGGGGGATGAGCAGCAACACAACTGCTCTCGTCGGCACAGAGACAGCACGTCTCAGAGCCAGGGCTGCCTAGTAGAAGAAATGAGAACTCTCCGAAATTTATTCTGTGCTTTGCTCACTAACAACCATTTTAAAAACTTTCATTCACCATCGTGAATTAAACATAAAGATGAGTGCCCCTCACACTCGAGGTGGTACCATGCATTGCAGGGCTCACAGGAGAAGAGCCAGCCTCACACGAGAGAGAACACACGGCTCTGAAAATAAGCAAAATGACAAAATAGCAACAATAACAAAATTCTCCAACTCTTCCCTCTTCCATTACAAACTCAAATACATGTCTTGGCTCTATCATTACATTCCTTCTTCAACCACTTTGGTCTGGCTTTCACTTCCTTCACGTCACCCACAAGGCTCAGACAAAGGATGCCAGTGACTGCCAGACCGAGAGCAGTATCCACAGGAGTCACTTCAACGGATGTCTCTAGGACATTTACCATGGTTGTTACACCCTCCTTACAACCCTTTTGTCCCTCAGTTTTTTGGAACTGATCTCTCTCCTGATTCTCTAATCCAACAGTGCAAACAATTTTTCTATGTTATTTCACCAACCAATAAAATGCATAGGAATAACAAAAGACTGTATATACAAAACCATGTTTGTATTCAAAAGAAATGTGGATTTTGGATACCTCTGATATCTAATCAGTTTTTTAAACATATTAATTTTATTTTGTTTGCAAGAAATGAAAAGTCTGTCTCCAACTTTTAATAATTACACCTTTTATTTGTTTCATGTCTCACTGCATGTCTCATTGCATTGGCAAGGCCTTGCTTAGTAATTTTAAAACAACAGTGGATATTTGTTACTTTTGAGAAGTATGTCTACTATTTCATACCTTACTGCTAATACGTTATTCAACCAAGATATTAAGACTCTTTGCCTCTCGAACCATTAACAATATTTATATTGTTCCTTTATATTGTTATATTTACAGTGTTCCTATATTAGTGGGACCCAAAGGAGAATTTCCAGGAATATGGAACTATTTTACCAAGCAGAGAGTTGTAACCCTGTAGTTTTAATAGAAAAGCTCTTATCGGTGTTCACATAAATAAGATAGAATTTTGGCCTATTTGTTTCTTAAGGTTAAATGCCCATCTGTCAACAGCAGGAGGGTGGGAGAGAATATACTCTTAGATGACATCATGAGTAAATATAAACTACTATTTCTTTCTAAAGTATTGAATATAAATAATATACTATCCACAAGGGAGCTACTCAAACTAAGTAAAAACAAATGGTAATCTTACATACAGTATTTCCTCCTCAGGAAGGTAACCAAAAACTCCCTTAGGAGTACACTGCTTTTCTTAAAAGATAATAACAATTGTTTCAGATTAGGTCATAGTCAGCACTTCACCCTAAAGGGTCACTGCAGGTAAATGTTGCAGTTCTCTCCAGGACAGATGGTTGACCCGTGTGTTATCTATGACTATGAACTCACCATGCCCCAGTCCAAGCCCCTGCCTAAAACATGCACAATTTCAGTGCAACAGTTCAAAGCACCAGCTGCAGGACCAGTGTTGACTGCACCAGAATCCCTTGGGTGTTTGTAATAAACACAAGATACTGAACACAGTGACACGTCTGCTCAATCAGAATCTCTAGGGTCAGGGCCTGGGAACCTCAATCTTTTAAAAAAGCTCCTCAGCTATTTGTGATATGCAGTCACGTTTGGAATTCACACTTTAGTTAATGGAAGGAAGGTGCTGAGCACTGGTGAGGATGTAACACCTTCACAGTACACACTGGGAAAACAAAGGTACAGAATTGGGGAAGCAACATATGTAAATGATATCACATCATAACTGTAACTGGGGAAAAAAGTCCTCAGTATTTTTGAAGGTAAAAATTCCTAAAATAGGTTATATGTATATACTCAGAACATCTTCCTGAAAAATGTTACCAGGTGATCTAGGGATAAATAAATTGGGGACACAGGGTACCCTAAATATGCCCTCTCGTAGACATTTAGAAAATGTTAAAGGCTCTGAGTTTGTTTGACTTAATAGTTCTCAAATTTTCTTGGGCAGAGAATATTCCTCCACCCACTACATATTAATTAAGGTCCAGCATAATAAAATACTTAGGCATACCATTTAAGAAACACAGTTCTAAAATGATTTCCTTGTCAAAGATTGTATTTCATGGCAAAATTTCACCTATATATCGATATTTTCCAACACTCAGTCCTCCTCTCTGCTATTCAACTCTTACAAAAATGATAAGCTATGCTCAAATGCATCTTATTTAAATTCAAACATTTAAGTGATATTAATCCCAGTATGTTTTTTCTTATTTAAATCTACATTTCAAATTCAGTTACTCTTATAATTTTCCATCTCTAATTAAACCAATTAAAGAAGGATATTTTTACTGACCTACTTTCTAGAATTAAAAAAAAAACCTAGGGAAAAATATGTTCTGAGGTTTGGGATGTTTCCAAAGCTTCATTAATTTTAAAATTTCATTTGAGTACAATTTTTATTTATTTCATGTTTCAAGTAATGCAGTGAAAAAAAGACTAAAAGAGGATTACTGAAGAAAATTTAATAAAAACAGAGTTTTTAAGAAGCAGTAATGGTTCGTTGTTGCTTTTTCTAGAAAGCTTTGAATGTAGGAAACTAAAAAAGCCCTAAAAGAGAAATAGTATTCAATTTTTACTTTACTCAAGACTGCATTAAAACTGATTAAAAGGTTTAGCTGAAATAGCAAATAACTATATCTCTCTAAAATATGCTCCAGTATACAATTTAATCTTAAATTGGACAGTCCTGGGAAAAAGAATTAGACTAAATTGGTACCAATCTGAATTGTAGAAATTAGCCTTGTATCCCCTGGCTACTTATTCTGTGTCCTGAAGTTTCAACTGAGTCCCAGCAGGGCACTCAGGGCAGACTGTTCCAGGGCAGACTGTTTCCTGCCCAGCGATCTTAGGCTGGATTATCTACAAAGAACAAACCATGTCTTAATATCATATTTTCTAGGCAACAACAACACAGCTGTACTACTGATCAAACTCCACCTTGCCATTTTTATTAATACCCAACTTACACATAAAAAGTTAACCTGTAAGATTCCCACAATTGGATTTTAAACCCGTATTATTTTAAATCCTTATTTCCTGATAAGTGCCACTGGCTACAAAATTACTTCATTTCTTTTAAGGATCAAGGAACCATTACCTGGTGTGAACATTCTACACTGATTTCCATTTTTTAGAAATTATTGGAAATAGCCCTGGCTGGTGTGGCTCAGTGGATTGAGCGCTGGCCTGTGGACTAAAAGGTCACTGGGTTCAATTCCCAGTCAGGGCACATGCCTGGGTTGTGGGCCAGGTCCCCAGTTGGAGAAGCGTGAGAGGCAACCACACATTGATGTTTCTCTTCCTCTCTTTCTCCCTCCCTCCTTATCTCTCTACAAACAAATAAACAAAATAATTAAAGCATAATTTGGTGGGAGAAAGAAAAAAAAGGAATTATTGGAAATAACCTTTAAAACTGGGTCACCTTGAAATAAAAGCATGGACTTTAGTTCAATATACAGGGTATGGCAAAAGTAGATTTACAGTTCGAGTACATGAAACACAGTGTATTCTTGTATTATTATTTATTAGTTAGTATATTATTTTCCATACAAACAATGGTAAACCTACTTTTCCCCACCTGTAATACAGCAATATTTGTTCACTAATTGTGATAAATGTACCACAGTTGTTTAAGAGTTAACAATAGGGGAACGTGGGTACATGGGAACTCTCTGTACTACCTTTGCAATTCCTGTATACCTAAAAGTATTCTACAATAAAAAGTCTATTTTTAAAAAATGAAGTCACTAGCAATTTCCTACCCACATAACAGTCTCACTTTCAGTGGAGGCAAAGGGGAGGTTTCAATTTTGAGAGTGTCACCCTAAAAAGGTGAAAAGACAGGTGTTTGATAAGAAGATTATTATAAGGCAACCCGAAATACCCCAGACATTGCCCAATGTTTCCTGGAGGCAAAACCACCCACTGTTGTGAACCAATTCTCTAGCAGGGGTGTCCAACCTGCAGCCCAGGATGGTTATAAATGTGGCCCAACACAAAATAGTAAATTTACTTAAAATCTTATATACTTTTTTTGGTCATCAGTTTTCATGTTTGTGTATTTAATGTGTGGCCAAGATAGCTCTTCTTCCAGTGTGGCCCAGAGTTGCCAAGTGTGGGACACCCTGCAGGTTTCTTTATAGAGTCATTATGGCTACTTTTTACCATCCAGCTGTTTTTTTTAAGTACAGCTGATCCTCAAATAATGTTTCATTTGATGTTTTGTTACCACACTGATGAGAGGAAAAAAATTGATTCCCAGGGGGCCACTGTCTGTGTGAAATTTGGACATTCTCCCCAAGGGTTTTTTTTGCGTGGATTTTCTCTGACTATGTCACATCCCAAAGATGTGCACTGGCATTCCACACTGTCCCAGTCTGAGTGAGTGTGAGCGGCCCTGTGATGGAAGGGCACCCTGCGCATGGCTGGTGCCTGCCTTGTGCCCTGAGCTGCCAGGACAGGCTCCAAAAGCGGCTTGGAAAATAATGATCTTACTTGTTTTTATTAACCTTTCTTCAATGTATTATAACTCACATTTATTTCAATGTTTAACATTAGAAGTGTTTTGGATCTTTATTTATAAGTTTGGTGATGCTTTTATGACCAGAAATAAGCTGCAGGAATTTAACTCTTGTTTATATCAATTAGCCAATGCAAAAATAGTTTCATTATACATTGTTTTGCTTAAAGTTGCAGTCTCCAAGAATCTATTGATGATGTTAAGTGAGAACTTTATGTAACAGTACAACTGTTATTAAACACAAATTTCCCAAGTAAAAGTCA